ATCAAAACTTTAGGATTTCAGGTCGTTCGCATAAGTAGACATGAGCTTAGAATCAGATCAGAAAGGTTTACTGACGTAGGACGGAAAGGGGAAGTGTCCCGGGACAGAGCTTTGAGAACATCCAATGGAGGGCCTTGCCGATTAGGAGCAGGTCGAGCCTACATTCACTCAAAATATCCCATCCGATGGGGTATCTCAATCCAGCGCAGAATGTCTCCTGGAATCCCATAAGGATTCCTTCGTAAAGTCCAGGTCAACAAGAGACCGCCGGTTGTTACGCCTTGATAAGGTTTGATATGATGAGTTTGCTGGTTCCAAACAAAGGCCTCATTGTGTCCTCTCTAGGATCAAGGTCACACTAATAGGTCGCTTTTTGATTTCTCGTTTCTCTGTCGAGGAGGAGGCAGTTTGCTTGTTTCTCCTCGGTGTCTCGGGGTCTGATGTCGTGACCATATTTCGTGTGGTATCCGTGCGAGCTCTTCGTCTATGGAGCCTCAGTGTGCCACGGGACGACGGCCCTTCCAATGTGTTGTGATTGTGCTTTTTGGCGTAGTCCTTATTCTGGTTGGCTGAAATCCCGATGATAGAAACATTAAAAAAGAAGGCCTGATCACACGTGGGTTCGTGATTGAACCTCTTGAAAACAGGAAATCATTCTCGAGTGCTAATTGAATAGCTTTCACACGGAAAACTTAGTTCCTGTTGTGTTATTGGCAGAGGCATCATTATTTGCGTCCGGTTGGCCCATACTATTTTTGAGGTATGCTATTTTTCATCTTGGTCTTAACCGGCAGCATTGAGTAATTCGATGGTGATTAGCCAAAGTGGTCTCTCTAACAAAAAGGAAGTATTCTGAGTAAAACAAAGCTAGCGGTTATGATTCCAGTCCGAAGTGACTTCAGATCCCCTCGAGAAATTGTGTGTAAGCCATCCGTTGGATGACAGACTCCAAGTGAGTGTGAGTAAGTTGTTCGGTGACCGGAAACGCATACTTTCATGGTCACGCAAATCGCAGACGGGTTCTGTTGGTTAAAGGAACCAGTATATTTTGCATGCGCCGTATTATCATTTGCCGCCCGAACTCCGGTTGATGAAGGCGAAAATATCAGTGCGATCTTCGCGGCAAACGGACCGACGACAGTGTTTTCCTTTGTGCAAGGGAAGTTAGTTTATTCGTTAATCTTGTGTAATAAAATAAAACAACGCTCAACAGCACATTTTTGTGAGACAAAATGACGCCAGTTTACCATTAACTGAAGCACATCGTAAATGGAGAAACAACTATTAATGAAAGTCAACGACCCATTTCTTTGGTAAGGTGTCAGAAAGACTAACAAATCGCCTCACGTCGATAGCTCGAGTCCTCTGTCTTGCCATCTTCGCCTGTGGGATGATTATTGCCTGCCTGATCAAGCTGGGTTTACGAACAGTCTGGGATCACCTTGGCCTTTGCGGACGACACGCTTGATGTGGAGCTCAACAGAAGACTAGTCGGTGCGAAGTCGACACGACAGAAAGTTCGAATCAACTACGGTAATTCTTAGTTCCTGCGGTCCAGGGAGATCTTAATCGTAGTACCACCGCTGTCGCTGCTCCACGAGTACGTCCACCACTCTTCTTTTATACTTCAGTCTCTTGTGTGTCACGTGACACAGTCCCGCCAATCAGTTGCTTGGGTTTGGCTTGGCTGACTCGACTCTTATTGGTTGGCTCTAGTTGACGCGTAAGTCTCTTAGGCAGACACTGGCGGTCGCCTGAGCCAGTCGTTGGCTTGGGAAATTTGACTTGCAAACCCGATTTCTAGTTAACAGGAGGGGTCGAGCAACGGGTACCAAGATGCAGAAACACCACGAACGCATTCTTCCAGGGGTTCTAAAACTCATGATAAATCAAATTATGAACCCACTGCGACTCACAGGTGAAAAGGCCCCAGATTATAAGAGCTGTGATGGATGGTTTCGCTCTGCGCAAAAATCGTCACACAACACAACTGCCTACGGGGCGACTGCCACTTCTTTGTCCCCACCTGTCGATTATGGAGCTGCCTACAACGCGTATGCACCCTCCTAGATGACTTTCGAATTACGTTATGACAAAGCCCCTGCAAACTGCATTTTACGTACGCACAGATACAGTAAAAATCGAAGCATTCACTGTTACGGGGTAAGAAAACCACATGCTTTGTACTCCAGTCATCATCCATCAAATCCAATGAAGTCCAGCGCTCACCATTCGTGTGAGACTGGTGATGGAGGTATCAGGAAATTGCATTGCCTATGAGGGTAGCTAGCTTTGAGTACGAGCAAGAGAAGAACGGATTATAATTCTGTTGCAGCTCGATATCGCAGTCAATTCCCGTCGCAGTAGGAGAAATATTTGAGCAGTAAACTATAGAAAAACAATCAACACCCCAGGAATACATCAGGAGGTAAGCTCCATTTACCCGGTGAGTGTTTGTGAGGTGGATATACATGGGGTTACCACTCTACTCCTCATGAGTTTAACCTCATGGATATAGAGTTGATCGTTTGCATCCTCCAACATTTCACATATGCTCCAGACGTCAGAAACTAGCAATTCAGTCGGTGCGGCGATTCCGAGATTGCACCAGAAATATGATGCGGCTTCTGGCGATGGATTTGGTTACTTTTCGAAATCTAAATCTATGCCTCACTTATGTGTAACACTTGATGCAAAAGTGAAGCGCTTGGAAGATCCCGGAGTCTTGAAACTGATGTGCTACTCTCCGTGGGCTATTTCAGTTGTGGTTGTCAAACATGCTGCTATGCGTACCCGTGACGAGGGCTCTAGAGGCTCAAGTGACGCCTCAAGCGCTCACTGGTATCCACTGTCGATAGCTGCTGGTATTTTTGCGGACGTGAAAAATCGTTCAGCTGTAGCACCATTTTAGTGCCTAACTGCCATGCCACGGGAAGGAACCACGAGGGCTGGAGCACTGCTATCTTGACCCTTGCGAAGGTGAGTGTCGACGCAGTTGGCTTTCAGCGGTTAATTGCGAATTAAAGTAGAAGAATTCGGATATTTGACATTCACACATTGCCATTCGAAGTGAAAAATGCAATCTTTTGGCAGATTGTGGACGGGGTTGCTGCATACCTATATGTTGGCGTTGTGGATATGACCGAAGAAGTCACCCTAGTTGGATGCCGCCTTTCAAAAGACGTAGGACCGGGTGTCGACCGGAAAAAGGCGCGAGTTCCTGCTGATTTCAGTGGAATTTATCCGTTTCCGTATCGTCGAGACTGATTCCACCGTCCGTTGTGAACTCAAATCGTTCTTGGGGTTACTCGGCTGTCACGGAGTTTTATACCAAGTACTCATCGCTCACACTAACCCTTGAACGCTGTTCTAACCGAAAGATGTCTGTGGGATGGATTGTGCAACTATCAGTTTGCGTTCGACGGGGTGAATTTTTGCGTATGGAATCCAACCCCCAACTACTTACCATCGTCATTACTAAGCCGATTCTTTCTTTTCTTGTGGCAGCACGCAAAACCTTAACTCATGAGCATCAAATGGGACTCTGATCGAACAGAGGCTGCATCCACCACGTCTTCACCATATTTACAAGCCAACTATAGCTTTGTTGTACCTTGACTTTGATGGTGTTTTCGGTTATGTGTATCTCACAGGAGGTCCGCAGAACTACTTGAACTTAATCAAATTCCCATGATTTCATACTTACGGATGTACATAGAGATCTTTTTGAAAGCTCTCCTACAGGGTGTGGTGTCTGGCAACAATATCTACTCTCTTCATTCCGTTCAACTTCCTTATCGATGAACTAAGACTAACTCTGATGGTCTTCATAAATTCGGTGAGCAACACGTGACTTGGCAGAAGGGTACGAAAAAGATTACGAGGAGTCTGAGGCTATTGTGTTTGGTCTGTCGTCCCAAATTGATTACACCTGACCCTTCATTTCATTGGCTGAAGATATTAAAAGCAATGACGTCTGACAACTGATGTCCATGGCGTTCGTGTCGTCAGTTTCTTTCGAGATCGCCTGATTAAGCGTTTAGAAGTGTAGTTACCTCAGAATACCTGCTTCAGACTGGCACCAGGTACCTTCTTCATCCATCCACTTCTTCCCCTATTGTTAGACTTTAAAAAGATTTAAACCTCGTTGTCGTATGGAAGTGGAGAGTCAGTGTCACCACTAATGTTGCTGTTCCGGATGATGATATCCAACCCTCCAGCTGGAGTCGGTAGCTAAAATATTTTTGTCCCTTATTCTGTAGCGTTTATCAGAAGCAAAGTTTCAATACAAAATTCCAAATCAGAGTAGATTCTCTTCATTGATCAAATGCTTACTCTGTCCAAGGCTTTGGAACACTTATATAAATTTCAACGGCCTCCCGCAGAATGCTTCGCCGAATGTACGTCCTATCTTACTCGTAATCTCTAATCCCTCTGGGTGATTTACCTGGCCGGCGTTTTACCCACGAGCATTTGAGATTTTGTCCGATGGAAAACGCCGTCCCCTGTACACGATGGGGATTTTCGAGTTCGACGTGTCTGGTTTCTGCGAGTCTGCTCACTGTCATCAGTGCTTCTTAGTCTTGGAATCGATTGGTCGCTTGAGCGGTACTATAGGGATTCTCTGATTTCCACAACGGTCCACAAGCCTTAACAGCCAATTTCGACTTTTTGAGCTGCCTCAACGGCGATATCTATTTTGGAATTTTAAAATATAATTTAGCGTAGCATTATCTCCGAGATCAACTGCAGACGTGGCGCACCAAGATCAGACGCGGTGTATGGTACAACTTTGTCTCCATGTGTTGTGCCGAATTCTTCACTGGAACCAACATTTTTATCCGTATGATTTGTAGGCATGCGTGTATGTGGGGGTACACTCGTAGTCAGCTTCACTTTCTTAATTAGCAATACTGTTGTAGAATTTGTACGACGCATTCAGCCATCTCATGTTCTTAAGCCACTCGGTTGTTTCAGTCCTATCTGTTCTATTTTTATAGATATCTTAATGACAACAGAGGAGTCCAAATTCGAATCACTACTTTCTGAGGCCCGAATCCTTTTCGAGAAGGGGCAGTTCCGAAGTGCGCTCGAACTTTGCAACCAAGCCTATGAAATCAAGCCTTGTCCTAAATTATTACGGAAGATCGAGCGTATAAAACCTTATGTCGACTCAGCAAACAAGGAAGATGACAGTGATGTTGAAAATTCTCCGCCCACTCCCGTCAGGGTAAACATGTGGTGTACTTTCACATTCCTCTAGGAGGTTGCCAGGCATCTCATTGATCAAGCTCGGGAGGCCTTCAGATCAGGGAACTTGCCGGACGCTTTGCGATTCCTAAAGGAATCGTATGAATGCGTGCCCTGTGATAAAACTGCTGGAAAAATCAGAAAGGTTGAGGAAGCCATCCGGATGACTGAATTGGAGCAGGCAGCAGCAGGTGATACACGACCGAGTAGCTCAAAGAAGGAGCATAATGAGGTTTGTATTATCTTTCCGAACTTTCACCCTTCCGCTTCTTAGGCTGATGCTGAATCCATGCTTACGAAAGCCCGAGTTCTGTACGAAGAAGGTCAACTGGAGGAATGCATCCGACTACTACGTGAAGTGCAGCTGATTGCACCGTCAGACAAAATCCAACGCAAGATCGATAGGATAGGTGCCCAGCTGTCTGAGACAAACGGATACAACCAAATGGGTTCACGAGCTGATGATGTCGTCAACGTTGCTGAGGGTCTTCGTCTACCCCGTGCTATGTACGAGAAACTGTACGAATATCAAAAAGATGGTGTGAAATGGCTGTGGGATCTTCACACACGTGCACCAGGTGGTGTATTGGCAGACGATATGGGACTGGGAAAAACTGTACAGGTAGTATAACATAAGAAGCATACAATCTTCTCACTCAGTGATTTCGTAAGACCTGACAGTTTCTTTTTTTGGCTGCTGGGTTAGTCGATATATACCGACTTAAAAATTCGACTAATGCTTTAACAATGTAGCCATGTGTTAAAGGATTAGAGTCCCCAGAGTACTCTCCAGTACTGTTGACCGGCTATTTCGAGTCCAGTTTCAGCGACTACTCTCCAGTACTGTTGACCGGCTATTTCGAGTCCAGTTTTCAGCGACTAGTTTTTAGCAATCGCACCTGATTTTTTTCAGTACATGGAAGTTGAAGTACTTATACTAGTCAGTATAACTAGCAGTATACTAGCAGTATAACACACCCCTATTCAACGCCGGTGTGCATGATCAACCACACCACACTGCTTTCGTCACGATGAAATACATTCGACTTGTTTCGCTATTTACTCTCAGTGATACTCATTAGCACCTTAGCTCAAAGCCTTGAACAGTGAAATAACTTTTCACTTTATTTCACACACCATTTCGCGAGTGTGTGGTCCTTACGTCATTGCTTACTTATTCCGGTTAGCCTACACCGAAGGAAAAAAGCACTGAGCTAGCGTTTACGTCCCTGTCAGAGTGGACGAGCAGTGCGTATCCCCTGGTTTGTCGAGGTTCGGACAGCTCTGCATCTCTGACACGTGAGATCAGTGTGTTACCACTTCTACACTGACGCATGCTCAACAAAATTGAACTGTTACGCCCGAATAAGTGAAATTGTTTAGATTTCGAGCGATGTAGTTGGTTTGCCCGACGTCTCTAACAACTCACTTCCCTGGTTGTGCCGATCAGCTGTCCTGCCCGCCAAGAATCCCAAATCTGGTAGCGTCACTGGTGACTGAACATTTTTTTCTGGTTGCTTGTGAGTGGTAGAGAACTTTGTGAAATCTGGTACCAGAACACTCATGAACCTTGATAGTATGCTTGATGTCTTACTTTTGGCCTTGGCCCAACGTCTTGTCTTTTCTCCATTCTTTTTTCCACAGGTCATTGCCTTTCTGTCAGGGCTGTTCATCTCAAGTTCAAAACGACTGACTGCTCTGATTTTGATGCCTGTTAGTGTCCTCGTCACTTGGGAAGCTGAACTGAAACGGTGGGCTCCTGCACTACGTGTTGTCGTTTTCCATGATGGGAACAGAAATCAGCGATTACGTTCACTATCCATGATTCAACGCAGTGGAGGGATTGTTCTTACTACATACGGGATGGTTGCAGCTGGTGCGGAAGATCTGATCGTTGATTTTCATGCTAATCCGCAGTTTATGAGTGCAAAGCCGTCAAATTTGGAGGGTCGCATGGCTCCTGAATTTGTCTGGGATTATCTAATCTTGGACGAGGCTCATAAAATAAAAAACCCGTCAGCTAAAACTACAAAAGCAGTTCTTAGTATTGCAGCTGAGCATCGAGTACTGCTTACAGGCACAGCTGTGCAGAACAATTTGCTAGAATTGTGGTCTCTGTACAACTGCACCCATTCCGGTAGACTTTTGGGACGTATGCAGACATTCAAGAATGAATACGAGAAACCAATCAGGAGAGCACGTGAGAAGGATGCATCTCGGGCTGAACGTGCACACGGACAATTAATGGCACAGAGTTTGCGTCGAATCATTGATCCGTATTTCCTTCGGCGTACGAAAGATGAAATTCTCCCCTCTGGTGTAGACAAAAAATCGTCTGTCTCAACGATGAATCCTGATATTGGACTTGTTGCTCCCGTAGAACCAATGCCAAAGAAGACTGATTTGGTTCTATGGATTTATTTACGAGAAGTTCAGGAACGGAGCTATCGTGACTTTTTGGAACTCGATCAAGTGAAGGAATTGTTAATTGGAACCACTCGTCGCTCACCCCTGATGGAGTTACTAATTCTGAAGAAACTCTGTGATCACCCTCGTCTCTTATCTCCGCATCAATGTGCCAGTTTGAACTTGGAAGTAACCAGTGTGCCAGATGAGCGATATTCAAAGCAGAGTTTGCCTCCGGCCTCACAACTCGTCCACGAATCGGGTAAACTCATGTTTCTTAGCTTGCTGATGAGTTCGTTCCTAAGTGAAAAACAGCTTGGCAGTGGGACCGTCCCAAAAACATTGATATTTTCTCAGAGTATCCGGTTCTTGGATATGGCGGAAAAAGTTATCTTGTCTATAAATAATCGTCCCGAAAACGCTTCTCAGTCCCGAGGACACAGAGTGCTTCGTTTGGATGGCCGCTTAACGAAAGTTGAAGAACGATTAGATGTCATACGTTTGTTCGAAAGGGACCCTTCTTACACTGTAATGCTTCTTACTACACAGGTAAGTTATGTCACGGATAATTCACTCTTAGACTTTACCAATCTTCATTGACAAGGACGCTTTGTTAGCATGCCTTTATATTTTAAATTCAGTTTGTAGTGTTCTTCTCAGTGAGGTGGACATTTTTCAGTGTTCTTCTCTTGCGAGAATAAGTCTCCTGAACCTATTTAATGTGGCTATACTTTTCCTATTCGAAGTTCTGGTGCCAAAGTGAGGAAAGATTGTACTTCTATCTTCCTTCGCTCCTTCATCCGAGTAGTCTAATTTAAATTCTCTCGATCATATGGTTTCTTCAGACGGTGGATTGTTTTGCTGCTTCATCAAAGGACAAATCAGTCGTCGTATGAACTGTGGTGACACCGCCATCCCCATGCTCACGAAGAGAGTAGCATTTATGGTAATCCGAAAGCGGAATTCCGTAATGCGGAAGCCTACGAATTGTTCAGCAATTGGGTTGGTATCACTGTCTTAACATAATGCAACTGAAACCGAATTCCTTTAGGGTTCATCGGAAATTTCGGTTTTCGCTAGTTTGTGAGCTGAATGAGGTTTTTTCACGTCATTTATGGTTTCTCACCTGTGCTGCCTTCGTTTTCCAAGACGTCCTAATCGAAATCACCAGTCATCTCTAATTTTCTGTCCACAAGCTGGCTCAGTGGTTAGAGCGCGAATTTACTGGCTAGAGGCTCCGTGGTTCGAACCCGACCTGTGCATCTCGACTTTCCCTGTCTAAGCTTGGGCATCGTAGCCGTCGTGCTTACTTTTGGTGGCATGGCAGCTGGACACCGAAAGCGTGTTACAGCTGAACGCTCGTTTATTCTGTCCACACCTTATATCTTCGTGTGAATTATGTATTTGCCAGTCACACGAACCCGCACTCCGTAGTCATCCAAAAAATCACCCTCAGTAGTAGTTGCTGGTCGACTGTCAGTAAAGGTTATTTCAAGGCAGATTCCTTGCACAATGTTTTGCAACCCAGGCTCTATTCGCTTTCCTAATAATGGCATCCACAGGAAGTACACAAAGACGAACAAGAGACGCTTCTTAGATTTGCCTGTTGAAAGCTTACTCGCCGAGTGACCACTTTTCAAGACACTCTCCATAAAGTGGCTGTATGAAATAGTTGTTCGATTAGTGTTTTTATAGAAAGGCCGAAAACTGCTAACATTTACAAGTATGGTGTCTGGTTTGAGGTGCATTGCAAGCAGAGGTTAACGGTACGTTTGGGGCTTTGAATATCGGACCATTCTTCGGCCGGGTCAGCGAAGTTTTGAGCAATTTATTACTCATGTATCATGATGCACGCCTCATCACACGATTACTTGGATTCAGCACTGTTGTGCGACCTTTGAAACACGTGGGATGTTAGTTTGCTTTTACTGATACTTACGTCCATCGCCTTCCTTTGGATGAACTCTCAAGATGGCTTATCTCTTCAAAAATCCTACAGAAATCTGATAGATATCTTACTGTGGATCCTACTAGAGCACTGCCCCTCTTTGTGGTGCATTATCTTGATATTAGTGTGCGATGAACTGCCGTGCCATGCTTTATTAATCCAGCTATAAGTTTCCAGACGAGCAAATCTCAAGTCATGGAACCTTTACAGTAGCACCCTGCTTCTTTAGAAAGTTTATACGAGGTGTTCCATCTCATGCCCAGTCTCGGCTCCAAGCGATCTGGTGTTAATAAAGCTATTTGTCAAGTGGATGGCACATAAATAACGGAACTATAAAGACACTCAGGACGATGGCCTTGTCATTTCCGACCGTAGTGCAGCTAAACCACAGAACTAGTATCTATTGGTCCTTTCATCCTAGCCACTGATGAAATAGCAAACTGCATAAAGCACCAGGTCCGGATAACCTACGTCAAGTTTTGTTCAGGAATGGGGGAGATCTCCTAGTAAGGTCGATAAAAGCTCCATTTCTTGAAACTGTAAACATAGAGGCAGTCTCCATTCGATTGAGTGGGTCGATTGTACCTCCACTTTTAACAGAGGGGCAGTCATTGAGGAATCATTTTGCCTCCATTTGCACTGAATATCATGACCTGCATCCTTTGAAACAGATTGTCTGTCAAAAACGATCTGTGGTTCCGAGAACAGTAGACCGTGTTTCTTCTGAGACCGAGACTCGTTGCTCCAATTTTCATCTAAAGCATGTCCACTATTTTGACATCTCTGAAAATTAGGGTGGCCTTTGGCCTAACAGATAGTGTCGTCCTATCAAACGGTTTGTCTACTACTGGAGTCCCCGAAAACCATGTTTTCATCCAGAAACCTTCATACAGCCAAAAATTCTCAGAAGAATTTGAACTTGTGACAGGCTTTGTTCCCCGTTTATAACCTGTAGTTTTTCGTGGGCGGAGTCTTTAGAAAGACTGTAACGGATGTCAAAGGTGGTGGCCTTTAACTCTTACCAGGTGATAGAGTCTTAGACGAAGGTGTGACTCGCTGGTTTCGCACATGTACAAATAGTAGTTGACCGCCTGCCGATTGAATGACATGATATGCCTTGTGTTTTACGCCCCGTAAGTCTAAAGTACTCTTTCAAGACTGGAATCAACCTGCGCCTGCATTCACTCCAATTGATGACACGGCATAGATTGCTGACAAACTGATGGAAATGACGTTTACTGTGTGCAATATGTAACCAATGTGACACGGAAGATACAGCTCACTGGGGCACAGTGGGTAACAAAGGTTTTCATTGTGGCTGAGACAGTCATGTTCTGGGTCAAGTTCGAAACAGGTAAGCCGATGTCAGGGCTCCGACTGCCATTGCCTCTTTCCACCGTAAGAAGAAGGAATCCATATACATCTATGCGGGGGTTGTGTCTTCGTGTGTATACGTTGTCCGTCTACTTAAGTAACACTCTTTTTACAAACTTTATAAGCCGGTCGACAAAGCTTCTGGAATCCACGTTTAAACAGATCCATGAAGCGCAATCGATAGTGTTTCACTGTAGAATATGCTGGGTTCTACGTTCTCCGGAGGCACCAAGGCTTTAGAATGCTGTTTCCTACAGCAACGTTCGAGTTCTTTAATGCTGACATCCGACCATCGCGCCACATGGCTCGTGGTTGTTTCACTGTATTTCGTGCGCACATTGGTTCTGTTCTAAGAGCGCTTTGGGGCATTTAGGTGCTCTATCTTTGTACACTACTCTCATTCTGTGTTGGCTAAAGATTCGTTTTCAGACGTACTTTTCCTGCACGGTGTGACTACCTTTCAGCTTAGCAATAGTTGTCATGGTTAGTTTTTCAGCCTCACTGAAGATTTATTGATATAATCGCGTGCGCGAGTCGATTATGTAACATATTCGTTATCGTTCTCTTTCAAATTGTGCGCACTAAGCCGCATAATCGGTGTTCAAATTACGTTGGTGGCCCCTTATTTCTTAGCACATACTGGGTCTGCAGTACAAAGCAACGTATCCATCCATTCAGCTGTTTTCGGTGAACTAATTTGTCCACCGTATCGTCAATCCTCACAAGAATCAAGTAGTCTGAAGAGACACCGGGTTATAAGTCTTCCATTTCTATAGAGGATTCGCTGCTGCGAGAGGACGGTAGAATCAATCACTGACGTCACCAGTGTTGCGTCGATTTACTGTGACCAAATTTCGGATGAATTATCAGAGCCCATCAACTTCCATTCTTCATGGTTTTGTGTCACAATTAGGAAGATGGGTGATCCCATTGCAATTTCTGCTGTTTCCTGGTAACTTGCACCTTGTATTCCTAGAAGATGGGTTGTGTACAGTGCTCCATATTTTCTGTATTCAATTCAACTCTGAACGGAGTAGTTTCCCATAATATCGTCTTGCGGTTCACATGTGTACCTCTGGTCTTATTTTGCATGTGCTATTTTGACGTACGTATCCCACACCTAATAAGATCTTCGTTTTCCACATAGGTTGGTGGAGTTGGCCTCACATTGACTGCAGCCAGTCGTGTCATAATTTTGGATCCTAGTTGGAACCCTGCTACGGATGCTCAGGCAGTTGACCGGGCATACCGAATCGGTCAAAAGTCCGACGTGATTGTTTATCGTTTACTTACATGTGGAACTGTGGAAGAGAAGATCTATCGCCGTCAAATCTTCAAAAATTCAGTGATACGTCAGACTACCACTACTGGTCAAAACAGGCAGATCAGTGTGGAACTGTGGAAGAGAAGATCTATCGCCGTCAAATCTTCAAAAATTCAGTGATACGTCAGACTACCACTACTGGTCAAAACAAGGCAGATCAGGATCCCTACCGGTATTTCACTAACCAAGATTTGCGGGAACTGTTCAGTCTTGGAGACCCTAGAATTTCAACGACCCAACAGCAACTGGCTGCTCTGCATAAGGAGGCGGAGAAGTGGTCCGATGAAACAATCCGGCCACATTTGTTATATTTGACCGGCCAAGATCATAAGGATACTGTATTTGGTCTGTCTTTCCACGATCTACTTTTTAGTCGTAAAGAAGCTGTTCAGTACGAGGAAACGACACCAGGTGAACATGAATTTCTCCACAACCGTCTCAAGGCAGCTGAGCATGCAATCGCCAGGGAATGTGTTGATGTCAAAGATCCGTCAGAGCAAGTTGTTTCTACAAAAGTACACACAAAGAGCCGACCTGATTATGTTGCTCCTATTCAGCTACCAGCTGATGGTGTGTTCTTAATTCCCTCCAAAGTAGATTCGAGACGACCAATGCTCAACCGTCCACAACTTGGATATCCTTCTTCAGACATTGTGAAGCAGCCACCTGTTCCTAATTCATTGAACTTAAATGATGCTGGAACTCCTCAAGAGGCGTCTGTTATAGTCATCGAGGACGAACTGACTGAAAGTTTGATGGAAATGAGCATTTCCAGTCCGCCCAAGAATCCCACAGAAGACGTAAACAGCGCCCCTTTGGTCACTCGCAAATCGAACTCCGCAGGCAGTTCTGTAAATGTGACAAAAACTTCCAGCGGTGTACCACACCTAGTGACTGACTCGGAAGGGGCAACTAATAGACAAACGACCCCGCTAAACTCATTGGATCAGGCTAATCGGTCAGTGGAAGAGTGGGCAACTTCATCCACAGGATCCAATCCAAATATCCGGTACACAAACAGCCACTCCTCTTCTGTTAACTCTCGTGGAACCGGCTTGATTTCATCCCACGGATCTCATCAGTCAGTAAAAGTGAACCCACCCCCTACTATCACCTACAACTCTTTAGCAAATTCGTCATCTCCCCTACCACTACAAAAAGCATTCAGCAATTCAGCACTGATAAATGCATTTCAATCAACGCCGATCGTTTCAGAAAAACAACAACCAACCACTATTCCACTAACTCCTCTTGCGAGGCCCACTAAATTCGGGCGGTTACATTCACCCACTATCGTCACGATGCCACCCACAAGCGCAGTGTGTAAAACTGCTCAATCCCCTGAGGCACCACCTGACCTGGGAGGAGTGGATGTTGTTCAAATGGATATCACACTTGATGTGGATGAAGATGAGTTGATGCGCACAGTTGATATGAGATCAGTACATAAGGTGAGCTGACCTCTTCCCATAATGTACAACGTATAGATGACCCGTATTACATTTCCTTGTCAATCAATCCTCTTTTCCAGTTGACTGATCTCAGTACTTATAAGGACTGTCACTACCTTTCGTCATATCCATCGACGGTTTTGATTCGGTCAATAGTTGGCTTCCTCTGCTCCTACCCTCACAGTTGATCAAATTAAGCTCTCCATAATCCACTGAGCAGCAATGTATAGATTGCTTGCACAACAGTGGGTGTGATGACGTCCATCGTATCGAGTCTTAACGCAAGGTGCTTATTAGGCTCTGCAAGAAACTGAAACCTGGAAAATGTTGGCGCGCTGTAAGCGATGATCACATGACCTATCTCCGTGTGACTGTTTTACTCCTCCCCATCATCATCATTACTGGTGGTAACATTGGTTATCATCGCCACTTCACCGCCGTACACGCTTATCGATGTATGTACAACATATCCTTTCGAACTATTACGTTGGCCGCTACAACCACCGCTGGTATATACACAACTATTTTTAGTGTTACTTTAATTCTGAGATTTTCGCAAGCATTGACCTTTCCTATAAAAGGTAATTCGTTGATTTGAGCAAACCGGGTGAGTCGAACCGTCGAAGAAGCTTCTAGCCGTCACAAAATGAACCTGTCCTTTTTCGGTGATGTCCTTACCATTTTCTTTCAGACAAAGCCAATATGAAGCTCTGGGTTGACTTCCTGCCTAGTACCCTATTTGCTTCTCATATTTTTCATTGGCAACCATCTACTACGTACAAGGTGTACATGGTTTTTAGTTGCCATAGTTTGGTTAGGTCTCATCGATTCCTTGCACTACCAGTTCACCGTATCCTGAATTGTTGGGCTTCCTTTCGGCCCAGGCTATTACATTTGGAACAAAATCACGAGATATATGGATTAACGTTCACTTTCTTTTGCAAAATCAAGAAAACCTATTTGTAATGCCTCAGAATACGGAATAGTGATATGGTCACTTGGGGTTGAAAGACAGACGGTTTGAAACTATCTGTCATAGACGCCGATGGTCAAACACCGTACGTCCTTTTTGCATGGAGACCATGTTTGTGATCCATAAAGTGTCATGAATCGCACCAGCTCAGTGTATGCCTTGCATTCGACAGACATCGGTGGCGAAGGGTAGAAAAAGCTACCCTGTTTTCCCTATTCTTTAAGTGGTCACGTCTCCAGCCAGTCTACAGGTAAACAAATTTATTTGCTACCTCGATTAGCGGATCCACAGGCATGAGTTTTGTGTTTAATTCCACCCGGTCTTGTAGCAGCGCTTTCCGCTTTGTAGAGTTGAAGCACATGCCAAACCATGCGTCAGGATCATTTGGGTTCGAACAGCTTTCCTGTCGTTCTCATGTCTCCTCTGCTGATTTTCTCTATTTCGTGCAGATACTCGCAAAATCAGGGCTAGCAGCTGGAAGCACAGATGACGATGTGCGTGACGTGCAGTGCCCGGAGCCATTGATTATCGAGGATTCCCGAGTGTATACAAGCCCAGGGACAAGCAATCCCGGTGATGCAAGCCACGTGAATGAAACTGCAGATGACCTTGAGATTATTGAGGACAGCGTTGATGAATGATTCAATCAGCTCGTATAGATTCAAACGGATGTCTTGGACAGTTGTTTCGGATGTTTGGAGTGTGGCTTCCTTAACTGATAACCTAAGATTATTTTTATATCTTATCTATGTTCGTGTTATTCTTTTAGAGTTATTAATAATTGTGAAAACACGACTTTTCTAATTAAAGTCATGCCTTGGCATACACTTGCCTGAGAACATTAGTAGCTTTTCTCTCGTCGACTTGAAAGGAAGGGCTACATTTTCGTTTTCCAATATATCCCCACTGCTTGAGCAAGAAAGTGCATGTCGGACCGCGGTCATACAAATATTTAAATTCGGGATATGCACAAAAAGAACCCACTGATAAGAAGTTGAAGTCGTTGAAGCCTACCTTATACGTTTCGACCCAATGGTAACGCTAGATTGACTCAGATGGGTCTATTGAACATTAAGCTGCCCGGTTTTAAGTTTTCCACGACAAACATGTGGTCGTGTTGCCAGTGGAGGCAATTTCCATAGTCCAAAAGTGATTATGGCCTCAAGAAAACTAGTACTCCTGACGGTCGAAGAGAATAACTACTTGTCCCGGGCGCATGTATGCAAGTCGGATTCCAAAGTCCCAGTAGGACTTACGGCCTCACCATGGTGAGTTGTTCACATGAATGGCTGTTTTAAACTCACGACAAAAACCATTGGTTAACCTGTTTACTGTCGGGTGGTACGCTTGTTCACAACATTTGGTATTCAATATTTCACTGAAAGCTGATTCGACCTGTGAACGACGGCCATTGTAACTCGACAACTGTACTGCATCACTCGGCATCTGAGGAAAGCACTTGACAGTTATTGGTGAGCAGGCCACAGTAAATGGTATGGCATATAAATGGTTGGCATGTATGTTGCATCAGAGGCATGCCTAAAAGGCTTCGGATAATTCCATGTATCCAACAGCTGAAACAAGCAACTTCTCATTGTAGACGTTTTCGTTTACTTTGGGTTACACAATCGCTGTTACAAGCCTGATTGGAGCACGTATATCTAAGTGTGATAAACTATTAAGGTAACCAAGCGCTACGTGTAGACTCCACAACAAAACTGCACGGCTGTTGGAAGGAGCGTATCGCAGAAACTGTCCCCTGAAAAGTGATCCAGAGGAGAATTACAAAATGTTCATATTAGTTACTGCGGCTTGTGGTGAATTCGTGTGGATCGCCTGGCAGCGGGAGAGCTACTATGAATATTGCGAGCGAAATCCACAAAAGAGTTGGTCGTGCAAGAGACGAGATATAGGGGAATGGGCGACAAAGTCTAGGTTCCTATTCCCCTCTTGGAGTATCTCGAGGATTCTGAGCAAATAGCGTAAGTGATGGGGTTGTGGTCGGCAGATACACTAAGCCGTCTAGTTTGTGAGATAGCCCGTAGGCGTGAGTAGTTGGCTTACAACTCTCTAAATAGCGTATTACACCGCGCTTGGGGATAGAATACTGGTCTTCAGTGTTTATGACCAAAATGGACTACCATAGCAATGTTGGAAGCATCTTTGGCGAATAAAATTTAGACATTTTGATCTGGGTGATCCATGGAGACTATTATTGATAGCCATTTCCGGTTGCAAGACCGTGCGCTGTCAGTGAATGTTATTGTCTTGGCTGTCTCAATTAATCCGCTACTGGTTGTATGGTGGTGGGACTCTGGTATAAAACCACGATGTTCATGGAGTTGTGCTGAAGATTTTTATTTCGAATCGCCGGTAGTGGAGTGTCTTCAAATTTGAAAATGCGCGGTATCCCATGACTGGAGAACTCGAGTTTCTCTCTTTAGTCTATTTAACAGTCGCGTCGAGTCTGACAAGATTTATTAATAGATGCTAAGGTGAGATTCATAGTCCTACTCAGATACACTCTTAGCCAGGATATGGGTAATCGAAATCTGGGCCCCAGTGCTTTGGCGCGCTTCGAAGGTTTCACTCAGCGTTGATACTATGGACAGAGATCCAGATAAGCACAGATGCGTAATGATTGTCAACTTCGGAATGTCAGAATGAGTGACTGGGATCTTCCAAATTGCACGAACAGGTCCAATCTTCCTGAAAAGAGACCTTTGCTGGGTGTTAGTAATACAGAGTAGCTATCAGATGCGATATTTTTGTAGTGCTCCATGCCCATGGGATATCGAGCGGTCCAACCTGCTGTATCGTGAGTACTTTGAGCGTGCAATGCCGTACAGCCGATTCATAATAGTGGCCGTAACTCAAGTCGCATATCTTCATTGCTACGTATTAACTATTTGGATTTACGTTACGTGTGACGTAAACCTAATGAATTAGGACGTTTAATCAGAATTCCACACTCGTATGCTTCTCTTCATGAACTGTTGTATTTGAAATGTACTCAAAGCTTGTATGACGTTTAGCCAACAGAAAAACGGAGTGGGGCGGGGGCGTTGGTGCATCGCCTGGGTTTTGAAAGCGCAGGGCTACTGTATGGGACTTTTCAGCGCATATACGGTTTGCAGTACATGTGAAGGCCCTCAGTCAGTCGTGTATAAAAAAGACAACGGCAGGTGGCCCTTTCAACCACCCAAGGTAGTCTGTTCGTGAACGAATTGATGGTCCCCCTTAATCTAAACTCCGACAGCAACTGTCGTGCAGTTCGGTTGAGTTTCTGTCGTTACTTGGTGGTGTTGCCAGAGTTCACGTGAATCCCTCCGGACCGTTGGGAACCCGTGTAGATTGTGATTTATAAGCTTGAAAGTGACATGGTAATATTCTCATACCAAAAGTCGGCACGCGACTAGTGTGATTGCAGTTGGAGCCCGTCGGACGTGTGTAACATATGGACCTCGAAACAGTCGATCATCTAGTAAAACGACAGTTGCACCAAAAGTTTGGGGACAGTTCGTTTTCAGGTTTATTGAAAGTGATAAGCGTGAAGTTTGTGCGGTGTTAATGAGGAGTTCCAATGGGGACTTCAAGGAACAAATAGATTATGGATTCTTCTTGAACAATCCTGTGAGTAGGATCTCCAAGCTGGGATCATTGCAGTGTTAAGCGTAATAATCGTCATGGGATCTGGAACAAATCACAATTTAAATACACTCATTTCCCAGATAGACCGTTCCTTGGGCAACGACAAAAAATCAACGCTTATTAGGGTTTGGCACTTTTAGCGAGGTGGTACATTTGAAGGCAGACTTACCTTCGTAATCTTTTTGTGACGGGTTCTATACACGTAAAAGCTGGTAGATTTTACAAGTACATTTGAATGTTAAGAGGTATAGCGACAATCTCCCTGTTCCGTTCTGCTGAACAACTGCATTGTACTGTATGGACAAGCCAAAGTCCGTTATATTAAAGTTCTTACACCTAATTTTGAGTCTGTAGTGGTCACTTCCTTGTTCTTTCAACCAACTTCACTTGATTTGTCTAGTACATCCGTGCTCACTAGATCATGCGACTCCTCGTTTCCGCAAACGTACAAATCACGTGGCAAAACCCTGACGCGCTCGCAACCTAGACCGACAAGTCAGTTCCCGTCTTGCACGCGCCTTGAACGATCCTATGTATTGTACATACGTCAAACCGTCTTATGTAGAAGAAAACAACACAGCACACACAAACTCGCACGCACACAAGGGGCAGAAAATCAACCAAACACCACAAGTTCACGAACAATTGCGGAACACGTATAGGAGCTATACTGCGGAGAAAACATCCCCCGTCTTGAATTTCACTCAGGAGCTCTCACAAACGATAAGTTCCTCTTTTGACTTACTCCGCCTTTCGCATTGCATTTATTTTATACATGGTGCAACTCGCCGCTGAAACTATTGTCAGTCATAGTAAAAACTGCTATCAGTGCATGCACCTTCTGAATTCTATGTTAGTTTGTTTGCTCTTGCGCGATATGTATTGAAAATAAACAAAATCTATAATTAACCCAGCTAAATTTATTGATTTGAAGCAAGAAACAAGTATGTAGGTAGGAGTGGGAAAGACAGTTTTGATGAAAGACCGTGGTGGTATTGGGAGATGATGATAATGATATTGTAGTCCTGGTGAATTCCGTTGGTCTGAATCCTTATTAGAACACTGTGGGAAAAGTTACCAAGTGGTTGTACCTCATACAGGAGCAAACTTTAGTACTTCTTGAGGGAACACACCATAAGGTTCTTGGAATCCCTTCGACCTTCCACGGTCGATTTCACCCCTCTTGGTATCCACTGGGCAGGTTCATTTTCAGAGTTCATAAAAGGGGGGTTCGCCAGGGAGTCAGTTAAGTCTCTCTTTAAAACCGAATCAGTGTTCAAATGAGTACGGTTCGTAAGTTTCGTACAATTTGGGTTCAAGCAGAACACAAGGTTGAGGGGAACTCGAAGACTGTCTACCTGATGAGCCCTTGGTCGTGGACTGTCGAAGAGTTTCCAGAAACCTTCAGTAAACGACAGTGTGATATCTCGAATATTATACCAGGCGGCGTTTGTGCGATACTTTTAGTCGAGGATTTCGCAAACGAGTAATTCAGCTGGGATTCAGTCGAGTCTTCTGTTAAGGCCAAATTAGTTTGTAAATGACTACATTCCCTGGACCTCTTGAATGACATCAGCGCACACCAACACACCGAAAAATGAATGAGCAGGACAAACATTGAACACCAATCTATTTCATATATCAGGAATTCACATAAATCAATATCAAACCACAGATTACTCTAGCTGATGAAGGAGGTTGAAGAACTAACATATACAACCAAATCACGCATCAGATTCCTGACGTGTAAAATATGGTCAAATTTCATGGCTTTCCAAAAATGCCAGATGCTGGATTCTTCGCCACGTGAAGCGCATACAATTCTCAAAGACAATGTACGCTGGGAAATTATTCTGACTTGTTCACGTAGATAAAATGCGGGAGAGGAAAGTTAAATTCTCACATAATTCCACCCATTCTGCTAGATCAGACGCTGTGGATCAAATTTTTTACCTTGAATGATGATACGGCAGATGTTCAGGTTATTTCTTTTTCGGTGGGTCCAGATTAGAGAGATCGTTCAGCGGTAGCACCTTTCGGTGCCTAACTGCCATGCCACCAGAAGGAAACATGAGAGCTGGGTTAGTGCCAGGTCGCCCAAGCCTAGTCAGGGAAGTCGAGAGGTGGTCGGGTTCGAACCACGGACCTTCCGGTCAGTAAATTCGCGCTCTAACCACTGAA